GAAAAATCTTTTTTTTTTTTGCTACTGTCTGTTATGTAACAGGCTACGCTAGCAAGTGGCATAACCATGTCCCTTTAGTGGCTCTCTACAACGCGTTCGTTTTCGTTGCCTTTCCGAATACGGATTCACGCTTCGGGCACATCCCTAACCCCCACCCCCCCGATGTCATCATCCGTCGCGATGTTTCACTGCAGACTTCGTCTGATGCCAGTTTGGTAGATATCGCCCAACCCTAGCGTTTATCTGTATTTTCCTTTCCAGTTTCCATCGCTTCCTCTGTTTTCAGTGTTGTTGTACCCTGTTGTCAAATGTATCGTTCACCTTCCAGTGCGGCGCTGCAGTCTGAGTGAGAGGTGTGTACTTTATGTAATGACTGTGTTTGTTGGACTCTTAGCGCTCGGTGGATCTGAATCCGGCTCAGCACGATCTGGTCCTGAAGGTGGCCGAGCTGCTGTGCAGTAAACCCGAGCACGACAGCCGAGCCGAGTTCTGGGTGGAGAAAGCGGCCAGGCTTCTGCCGGGACACCCGGCTGTCTTCAATCTGAGGGTGAGTGTGAGTTAAAGAGCTGCAGACGTCTGCTGTGCTGCGTCTCACGCGTCCTCTCTGCCACAGGAGAAGCTTCTGAGCGCTCAGAGCGGCTCAAACCAGCTGTACGAGCTGCTGCAGTCGGAGCTCAAGCTGCGGCCCGCAGACACCTACATCAACCAGAAGCTGGTGCAGCTCTACAGCGCCGAGGGCCGGCTCGAGGACGCCGTCAAACACTGCCTCGCCGTGGAGAGAGCTGGCGTCCTGAGACACTGTCTGGAGTGGTACCAGCTGCTGCTCCGCACCCTACAGGTACAGCATCGCCCGTCCTCACGCCAGTGTCTCAGTGTTTCTTACGGTGGTTGCTTTTAGCTCATTCATCTTTAAAGCAATAGTTCACCCAAAACTGACAGCATAAGACTTCTGTTTGTCTTCAAAACATATGATGGTGTTTAAATGAAACCTGAGAGAGCTCTGTCCCTCCATTCAAATTCCATTTAAGCACAACTTTGGTGCTTCAAAAAGTTTGTAAAGGCATTGTAACAGTAATCCATATGGTTTAATCTGATCATGTGATATGATCAACAGATGAACAGATTCACATATTTTTCGTTGCACAGTGCTTGGTTTCTAGGAAAAAGAGAATGTGGGAAATTGGCCATTTGAATTGGTTGAACAGTTTAGCTGCGTGACATTGTAGTGTAAAACCAATGCTAAAATACTGAAATATAAAAATAAATAAACTAAAAACTAACTAAACTAGTAACTAAAACTTTAAAAACTAAACTAACTTGCTTTCTAATCTGTTTTATTTTCATTTATTATACAATTAACCATAGCAGAAAATACCTCTAACACTAGCTTGCTCTATTCTTTTTCTACTCTGTCGGTTTTCTTTTTATTTATTATATTATTTAACCCCTTAGCGGTCAAAGATCGGCGACGGCCCCAGATTATTGTTGTTTCACTTTAACAGCACGTTAAACATCACACTCTTACTTGATCTGGACAAACTGTGCAGAAGAAAGATTAAAAACTCTAGTTTCGATATTTGACCATTGTTTTGATAAAACATTGTTGCAGTGACAGTAATTTAGTAATTTATGTCAGGAGTGCAAAATAATAAATCTGTATGAGTCATTTTTAGAATAGAAATTCACCACACATTCATATTCAGTCACGTCAGCAGCGGTTTATTTGTGTTCACATAGATTCACTGAAAAGCGTTAATAAGGGCTTATAGTCCAAAGATGCATATACATGGAGATATATAGATATATTTACTCATATTTCTTCAGACAGAATCATCATTTCTATTCATTTTCCACTGATTTAGGCGATCTGATGATAATTAGCCGCTCCCTGGGCTGTCTCTGTGTGTTTACTCTTCCGTGTTCGCGCTGTGACTCAGACAAACTCTGATTGGTCCGTCGCCTGTCACTCATAACTGCGCATCATATCCCGCCCCGTCTCATCCTGTCACGCGCTTCCTTCACTCTGCCGTGTTGATTTCTGACCACAACAACACAGAGCAACCTCTGTACCCACGAAATATCCAAATAATAAACACATGATTACGATAGTATATGGTTTGTTTGTGATTTTCTTGAGATTTGGGGTATTTTCATAA